CTGCTTCCAACATGCAGGACACGACATGTTGTCTCTTCTCTTCCACTTCTTGGATGAGTGGCTGTATAAATTCAGTGCTAATGAGTTCTTTATACCCAGGGTAAGTTTTGTTTTGATCTTTTTCCATTTGTAGGTTGAGGCTATTCTCTGATAATGCCAGCTCTGAATGCAGTGTTACTTTAGGGGGAAAAAATGGAATTTCTGCCTGAAGATAGAAGATGTTACTGACATATTTCTCCTCTTGCTTTCTCTGCAGGAGGTGAAAGTGCTTTACATTGACCGAATGCAATTCAAAATAAGATCAATTGGGTGAGCCTATCAGTTAAATAATGAATATCTTTACCGAGAACACATATATTGCCTTCAGAGTAACCACTCTGAAATACCATGGTGTGCTGGAGTTCACTGATGTTTTCTGAAAAGTGGATGGTGGACTCTTTTTTTTGGTTTGGGTTTTTTTTTTTTTTTCTTTGAGGCTTTAAATGAAAATCTCTCTGTCCTATGTTCATCAATGAAACTAATTGGAATATTTGGTAAATATTACCAAAATTCTAACCACCTCTGTTCTTTTTGCCTTTAAAGGTGGGGAGAAGAGTTCTCTTTACCCAAACACCCTCAGGTATGCAGTAGTTCATCTGTACATCTTTTACATTTCAGGGGTAGGATGAGGAGGTGTGGTGTCTTTTAAATCCGATCTCTTAAGTTCTCACAAGATCCAAGTATAAATGTGTCTGAATTGTATCACAGGCACTGAACTTAAGATCTCACTTTCTGCTTGTTTTCTGTGAATACGTTCCTGAAACTGTTGACCTGATCAGCATCATGCTTCCTCAGCACTAACAAAACTCAACAGTTGGCTTCCTTGTTGTGATGCTGATAACGCAGTAAACTAATCTGTACTGAGAATGTGTATGTGGGTTTGGTTTTCACACTATTATCACAGCTTTTTTTGCCTAGTCAGGTTTTGCTTCTTTTTTTTTCCCCTGAGGATTTGCTTCTAGCAATTCTTTATCTCCCTGATAGCTCTTGAGCTGTGTCAGTATTAGCATAGAAATGTTGATGCTCTGTCAGATGTAAGAGGAGGAATTGGTAGTATTTAAGAGGCAATAAAATAAGAGTTACTTATTCACTATTTGGCTGTGTCTTTTCTCTCTAGGGTACAGAGGTGAAAGCCATAACTTACTCAGCAATGCAGATCTGTGAAGATGAAAAGCCAGAAGTCTTTGTCATCATTGATATTTAAAGCAAAAAAAGCCTGGTCAAGTGGATACTCGTCATTGGCTGGCAAAAGTCCCTCAAAAACTGTAATCCCCGTGGAAGTAACTAAGAAAGTGGCCAATTAAAGCCATAAATTGAAGGTGGTAATTGTGGGGAATGTCAGCCTTTGTTTTGACTTGAGGGTGGTGAGACAGAGGATACCTGCATGCCAGGAAAAAAAACTATTTGGGGTTTTGGGGGGTCTTGAAAAGAAGAGAGTTGTAGGGATTGAAAGTCTCTCAGGAAGACTTTTAAGGCTGTTACGTGTGTTAGATGCTGTGTGAACTAAATAGAGAAATCAGTGGAGCTGCTAGCTAAAGTACTGCCTTCTTGTAGAGTGGCAGGAGATAATGTTGATTGACATGATTTCGTTTGCAGATTTAAATATTCTAATTATGAGGCGATGGACATATTATATAGAGGGTCCAAAATATCTGCAGTGTGTCAGATTTAATATAGAAAAACTTCTGACTGTTCGAAAGGACACCTAAGAAAATATACTAATTAAAAAAACCAACCACCACACCTTCTGGACTACTTTAAAAAAAAAAAAAGTCATGCCAGCAGGTGGTGCTGAATTGCTGTAGATAAATTTCCACATGCGCTCCTAAAGCTTGTGACCATGTATGTGGAATCCTAATAGTGGAATCCTGTTTTCACTTTTAAAATTAGGCAGCTTTCCTGCTGTGGTGGAGAGGGGTGCACCGCTTTCTCTGCAGGTTCCCTCCCAACTATGTCCTGTGAAAGCTGATTCTCCTTTTAAAAACCAGAGGATTTGGGTCAGCTTCCCTGGCTTCCTTCAGAAAGGACAAGACAGACAATCCTTTAATGTCAAAGAATTACGGACTTCACTGACTCAAAATTAATGAAAAATAACCAGAAGTGTGTCTTGCTTCATGACACAGGACAGGAAATGTTCATTACCTGCCCTTGCTGTGGAAAGGGGAGAGGGGCACAGGGAGCAAGGGTCAGTCAGCGCTCGCCTGACCTGCTCTTCTATTGTAAATATAAGTGTCTCATCTTTATTTTGTTGTAAAGTCATCTTAAATAGATCTTGTTTTATTTCCATATTGTGAAGATTGAGGGATAAAATCCCTCTTTTATGCTGAAATAAAACTTGGGACTGAAATAATTAATGGATTTCTGTGTGAATAATTTTAGCCAGTGGATTTTTAACACCAGTGAACTACATTTGTGCTTTGTTCTAAGGTGAGCAGACTTTTTTGTAGAGAATGACAATACGCCCATTGGATGGTACAAAATTCAGTATGATTTTCACACGCTGGGTTTTCTTCCCCCCCTCAGGAGCAGCCCTGAGGCTTCAGTGCATGCCCACAACAGGCCGGACACAGCGGTGCTGTGGAGGAAGAGCGAGGCCTGGGCCCGCCTGCCGGTGCTGCTCGGAATGAAGGGCTCCAGGCCTTCCCCCGGCACAGCAAACCGCCTGAACCCCCGGGAGGTGAGGGCCATGGCGGGCGGGCGGGCTGCTGGCTGCCGCCTCCCCTCAGCCAGGCAGAGAGCTGCTGCTGCCGCTCATTGACACCTCATTGGCGGGTTAGGTCAGGTGACTGGGGTTAGCCAATCAGGCGTCGAGTTGAGGGGGGCTTTGTTCTCCACAGAGCCTGAGGAGACGGCTGGGACCCGTGAGGAGGACAGTGCCTAGGGAGGCTTTTCCTTTTGCCCAGCCCTCTAAAAGGAGAAAAAAGAAAATTATGTAGTTAAAATTTAACTTTGTAGAAGTGCTGAGATGCCCTATGTCTACCATCCGTCACAGGCTGTAGCGACACAGTGAACTGCTGTGCTTTTAGAAATGCTGACAGGAACTGGCAAGAAAAACATTTTGAATTAACTAAGTAAGTGTTAGTAATCTATTTTTTTTCAATATTTCTTAAGTACATATTATAAAACAGGCCTTAAATTCACTTTGTCCAGCGTGTTTCATGAAAGTTCTCTCAGTGCACTACGGGAGCCCCACTGCTGGCTGTAGCCTCTCTGAGCTGGGGCCCACTCAGACAATTAACCATCTGGAAGTGGTTAATTCAAAGACCTGTTTAAACTGCAAACCCTTCTTGTCTTGCTGGTAGTTGCACAAGCTCTCTAGCAAGTTTGTGTGCGTCTCTGTGGGATCAGCTAGATGAGGTAGTGGCTGTTCCAGCAGCCAGATTCAAAGGAGATGGGACTCACAGGGCACACGAGACTGGTGGAGGCAACTGCCAAAGGATACTTATTACTGATGCAAGAAGTTTCATGAGGTAGGTAGAGTGGAGACCTACTTGGAAAAGGTGTGCATTGGCGGTTACTAAATGTACAAATCCCAATTTACGAAAATCCCCTAAACTGCAAATGGCTGGAGTTTTTTTGGGAGAGCATTAGGGAATTATTATACAGGCTTGCCCTGTTCTCACTTTTACCTAGGTATCTGTTAATGGCAACTGCTGGAGACAGGGAGAACCTTGATGTGAATCAATATGGCTGTTCTCAAATTCTCTACAGGGAATTTTTGCTTGCTTGGCAGTAACCTCAGGCTACAGATTCTGCTAACAGGAAAGGAAACCTAGCATAAAATGAGACATGAGACCAAACAGTGGCTCTTTATCAGGAGTACCTACTGTCAATGCCATTCTTTGCTCTCAGGCAGAACGTTTTTTCTATACATTCTCCTCGAGATTTTTTTTTTAATCATTTTAGTACAGTTTCTCTAGCAAGTGGAGGTTCTCTGACCTAAATGACTGGGGAAAAAAATATAATTACTAAAGAAGCTGAAGAGATTCCAGAACTACAAAGGTTGCTTAAACTCTAAGGGAAAGTGTCCTTATAAACCAATGTTTTTATGCGGTCTGTCAAGCAGCCATTAAGCATCCTAAATTTATATAAGCAGGAAAGCCTTTCTAAAGTAGTGTCCCACTGAAATTGAAGGGACTTGTCCTCTTTATTATCTTAGCCTTAGACAGACAGGAGTTTAAGCAAATCTTGCACCAGTCCTGAAAAAAATTGAAAAAACCTGACAACTGTACTTCCAGTGATGGCCATTTTATTTCCTTGGAACCACATTAGTGTATTTTTCTTTAAAATTCACAGTACAAAAACACTGCATATCTGAAAAGGCAAACTCATACCACCCAAGTGCGCTACCGATGCTCTGTTCGTTATTCTACTCTGTATGGCTGTGTGTATTCTTGAAAATTATTCATGCTTTTCTGAATTATAAGAAGCAGTAAGGTCACACAGAAAACAAAGCTCTCATAAATAGGCTCTTCAAAAACAGGAAGAATTCCACTTGTTTTCTTTACTCCTTATGAAGTTTCTTAAGTGTATTTACATGTTAATTACAGTGTCAACAAAAATGTGTTTTACATTTCTAAGCTGCATACTTTAGTAAGACTTTTTCAAAGCAAATTATCAATATTTGTGTTTTAAAAAATCTATATAATATAGAATCTTTGTAGAACTGCAAATTGGTTCACACTTTCATTATGAACAGGAGCTCCAAGCAAGTCTTGGATGAAATATAAACTAATTCTTCTAAATAGTTTCCAGATAATAAGTACATTCTGGATGATATTTAGAAGCAGTTACACTGTTGCATATCTGTAAGTACAAAACAACTTGTTTGTAGGCCATGTTTTGTTTCTTATAATAGAGTTTTAGCAATATTTAATTTTCATGAAATTAATAAACCAGCATTAGTTGTTAGGACACAAGTAATTTAATCTTGAATACAAGTAACAAATACACAAATATATCTACCTAAGATTTGGTTTCACCTTTTCATCTGCCTCTTCTGGAATATCCTCAGTAATGTGCCGGACAGCCAAGTTACACGGTTCCTCTTCCATTGTCTCTTCATCTGATTTCTGTTCCTCCTCCAAAGCCCATTTGGAACATTTGTTTCCCGTGGAGGAGACAGGAGAATGTTCTGCATCTAAATCATCAGGGATGCTGTCAAAATTAGCTTCTGCTAGACACTTATGGCACAGTCTGTAGCGTCTTGTTCCTTGCTGAACAACACATCCTGTTAGGTCAGTTACGTGACGCTTGCATTTTCTGCAGATCAGTTTGCCTGCTTGATGTATCTAAAGAGATTTAAAATTTGAAAATGTCAGTGTTCATCCAAAAGCAGTTTTATTTACTTTTTTTAATTAAAAAAAAAGTTCACTGAATCATTCTAAAAAATGAAATTAAAAATATAATTTTCCAACTTAAATAATGAATAATCAAAGCCAATGTGCAGCTTGAAGCTTTTCTGGTATTAATTCTGGAAATGACTGAACAGCTGGTACCAATGACATCTTGTGGGTTTTTTCCTAGGCTGACTCTCCGATTGAAATAGCGTACCGTTTGGAAGTGGTTACGTAAATGCTCTAGACGGGTGAACCTTTTCCCACACACTTCGCAAGGGTACGGTCGCTCCCCTGTGTGACACCGAAGATGTCGCTTCAGGTCTGCCCGTCGTTTCACTGTGTGCGTACAGAAGGGGCATTTGAATCGCATCCGAGGTAGGTCATCTGTTACAGAGAAACGGGTATAATATCAAAAATCAGCAGTATTTCTTTATGTAGTAATTTGATTATTTTTCATCTTAAATAAGCAGCAGTTCATTTCTCCTCTGGTCTGTCACTAAATGTGATAAATCCCAAAATAATGATCCCCAAATCCAGGATTTCTTACTGAATGTGTTAAACGGGTATTAGATAGTGTATTCTTTCTTACTCAAGAGTATTTTTTAGACCTGCAGATGATCATAAATACACAGCTATTCTATACAGTCATATCTGCCTCTTCCATCGGCTGACAGTTCATAGTTGTGACATTTATAATCTCTATGTCATATACTAGGGTGCCTAAAGTCTGAAAAATAGGCAATTATAATAAAATACAGCTACATTACTTTCCAAAGGAATGCACCTAAGAATACACCTGTCAGGTTTATTCCATCATCATGCTGCCAGTCCATCAAGACCTTAGATGCTTTATGTCGTGTGGCCAGTCATGAAGTTTGGGCTGGTTGGGACCTTAGGGGAAATGCAGCATCCTGCCAGCGACATGGCCTCTTGTGAAGGACTGGGGTTGGTTTAGGCTGAATGCCTCTACTACTGCCAGGTATTGGGGATACTACAAGAGGAATTCAGTCCTTCAGGTCCCAGTCAATTACAGCTCTTGAGGCTTCGTTAAACTCCACTTAGGTCCAAATAATCTGGCATGTACTGTTTTAACTTTACAGAATACCCGAGTCAAGCTCTCTGATTCTAATTCTCATGCCCTGTCCTGGCTTTAAAGTCTCTCATTCTGTCAGGCACTATAATCGAGCAGATCAATAAAACAATCTGCAAGTCTAGGCATCATTTTGGTTTTCATGCAGCCATATAAATTCTCTCCAAAAGATCACCTGAATTCTTCCAAATTAAGACAAACTTTGCAAAACCGAATCTATTTTTTACCTTCATTCCAACTAGTCATTACACCTAAAATTGTGGGCATTGAGGTGTACAGTTCCTCTGCTTTTAATTCCATGAACTCAGGAGTTCTTGAAAGTTCTTGTTCTAGCTGAGCAACAGACCACCTCTTTGGTATCGCTTCCGAGTTGTTCTTATATCCATAATCATCGTGTTCAACATCATTCTCAGCATCAAATTCAACCTCCTCTCTAACCCGAGAGATGTGGCTGGAATCTGTCGCACTGCCAGCTCGATTTACACTGCACAAAATCACGGGCCTGTGACAGCCCGAGGTGCTTTCGGCGCTTTCTCGTTGAGCCCTGTTTCCTGCCTCTTTTCGATAGCTGTGTTTCCGCCCGCTGAAGAATCACCTGGGAGGACAGGTAGCTGCTGTAACTACTCCAGGAATTTTCATTCACCGTGTTAGGCTTTTCATCTGGAATCGAGTAGGAACGCCTTGGGTTACTCTTTGCTTTCCTTCTTGACCGATACAGAGGCGGATGGGCAGGTTCACTGTTTGTACTTTTGGCCGAAAGGCTGAGGTAATGATCTTTTTCCTTCTCGTTAATATCTAGCGAAGACTTAATGAACGTTTTACAGACATTAAGAATATCTGTCATCTGCAGATAGCTAGCAGCTGACATCACTTCGATCACGTTTTGACTGGTTAAAGACAATATTCCTGAATACACAAAGTCCAGGATAACCATAAATGTCTCTGGGGAGAAGACCTCAAACGTAGCAGTTGTCAGCTGACTCATCTCCTTCGAGCTCTGTGAAAGGAGCATTTTGAAATAGCCGCTGCTGGCAAACAGCACATTGCGGTGCGCTTTAAAGACCTTTCCCTCAACCAGGATATTGCAGTCACAGAATAAATCTTGCTTCCGTTGTTCATTTAGTTGCTCGAGGAGGTGGAACTGGTGGGAAGAAATCTCCATCCCAGTCCGGGAGTAACAGGAAGGCTTGATCTAAAGTAAAAAGCAAGCATAATCGTGACCATCTAACCTAATGTTGCTGAATCCTATTTTAAAGTCGCGCGTGTCCGTGCCTTAAACCCGCTCGTTGTGTCCGCGGGCTGTGCCGGACCGCACCG